GAGCAGAAGGTGCTCTGGAGAATTCGTGCCTGAGAGAGCTGGGGCTGGGGGTACTGGGCAGCACTGAGGGGAACGTGAGGGCTCGAACTGAAAACGGCGTCGACGGGTGAAGTCCACGTTCTGAATGGTGAGGGCTCTGCCGCCGGCCGCCCAGCACCCAGGCCCCTGGGACGTAGGCCGATGTCCGAGGACAGCGTGTGGAAGAGTCCCTCTCTGGAGAGAGTGGCCGGCGACAAAGAGGACAAATGCCAATGACTGGGGTCCCCCAGATATGACGGGAGCCCAAGCTGATCACCTTAAGCCAGTCTGTGGGTGACAGGAGGCCCCTTCACCAGCACACACACACAGCTGCCACCCTCTGGAGACGGGGCTTGGCCGTATGACGTATGTGAGCCATGGGACATTAGCAAAAGGGACGCAGACGAAGGCTTGGCGGTGCTGCACGTGGAGGCGTGCCATCTTCCGGCTGTGCTCGGGGCCCCAAAACCACGGAATGAGCTTGGGCCAGCTGGGGAAGCCGCGTGGAGGACAACCAAGGTGCCCTGGTGACAGCCTTCCGACCGCCAGATCTGTGATTCAGGCCGTCACAGGCTACAGCCACGTGATGACAGCGTGCGCGGCGGTGACACCAGACGGGACTGTCCGAAAGCCCAGCCAGCCCGCCACAGTCCACGCCGCAGCCTGCGCAGTGTGCGCGGGGGGAAGCGGGCGGGTCCGCAGCAGCCGCCGGCCCGGATGCGGGGAGCAGCCGCGCGCTTACCTGGGCGGCGGAAAACTCCGGGACAGCGCCGTGTGGGTGGACGCGCTGCGTAGCAAGGAGCTGCGGGAGGCCGGCGTGGGGCGGGCCAGAGCCGTGACAAGAGGTCAAAGCCATAACAGGCACCCTCAGGGCCAGATGGGGCGGCCCCACAGATCACGGGCAAGGCGGGCTTTTAGGTAAAGCGAGAGGAGCCCTTTCGGGGTGAGCGGCGGGGAGACCGGCTCTGACTGCTCCTCCCAGGTGCCATTGAACTTGTCCTGGTAGCCGCCCCGGGGTTCCTGGACGCGGCTGCTGGAGCAGAGGGGAGGAGGCTCCGCAGGAACCCTTCCCAGGAGCTGCCGGGTGTGGCCACCGGGGCTGTGCCTCCCGCTCTGCGACGTCAGTCACCGCGGATGAGGTTTGCGGCCGGTCAGTGGTGACGCTGCCCCCAGCCCGCTCATTCTCGGAAGTGCGTCTACGGAGCAAAGCTCTTTCTCAGCAACTCTCACGTCGCTTCGAGGTATAATTCGATAAGAAAGCTGGTCACGTGCTTGATTCTTCCCCTTTATTTACCATTTTTTGGAATCGTGAGTCGATTTCCTATTGTTGGCCAAAGGTGGCCAGCTACCCTTATTGGACTGACATTACAGCTCGTGGATTTTCAGCATCTCTAACGTGTTTCCTTCCATCCGTCGCAGTCATCGTTATTAATGGTACATCTTGCGGCACCTCTGGCCTGTGGAGGCATCTTTAGGTCCATTCCTGAGTCCCTGTGCCGTGACCCCAGGAGTCGCCGTTGGCGTCCTGGCCTTCCAGCATGACAAGGTGCTCCGGGCTTCTCTAGCAGGCGTTTGCCCCAGACCCTCCGCCAGCCATTTCCTCACGGAGGGACCACAGTCTGGACTCTGGCGGCGCTTCCTGTCCCTCGGTTGCTCAGTGTTCCCTTCCCAGCCACTTTGGAATGCCACGGTCTCACCTGACTTCTTGCATGTTACGTATGTATCACCCTAAAAATCTTGGTTCCTAAAGATGTAAACATAATAACTTACTGGCTTCAGCTTACAGCTTCGGGTTAACAAAAGCAACATTGTTACAAGAAATGTGAATACTGAAACAGTTTAAGCCTTTTTTGCCTTTAGATTATATCCCACCAGGAATGTATAGTCAAATTATAACGTTTTAAAGCTATTTTAAATGAGTCCTGTCTGCAAAGTTAAGCCACCAAATGATACAAAATTAGGTGCAATTTGTTTGATTTTGCTTTTGATTTTTTAGGGATTTCTCTTTTATTCCTTTTGACTTAATTTTTTTTTATAATTGTGTAAAACATGTATATGGCTGCAAAGTCAAATCCACAGAACGCATTTCATGCGGAGGAGCCTGGCTTCTGTCCCAGCCGCAGACCCTGTTCCCTCGACCCTGTTATATTTATGTCATGGCTGATCTCTTCAGTGTTGTTTTTTAGTGGAAATTTGGTATATATTCCAAGTGAAAAAAAAAATCATATTATGAGCTTGTTGCAAAAACAACTTTGATTAGATCTTAAAAGCATTTATAAATGTGTGCCAAAGGCCGGCGTGAGTTGCACATTACGAGAGAGTCAGTGATGCCAGGAAAAACAGCTCACCCTGGGGACAGCCCTCGTGGTCATCTTCCAGGTCACAGGCAGCGCGTGGGTGTCATGGCCAGAGTTCCGAGGTGGAGAACAGAACCCGCGCTGGCCGGTTCAGGCAGGAAACAGCTTGTTAGGGGCTGAAGGGGCTGATGGTGCCGCCGCGGAGCCGAACTCGCGGGCTCTAGGTAGAGCCTTCGGGACCGACCTCTAGGCAGTGATGCCCGGGAACGTGACGGTCCAGAACCGCCCCGGATCCAGGAGCTGCTCCCACGCCCGCCACCGCTGCCGCGCTCAGCGCTGTCCATATCCTGCCGCGGGACACAGGGGACAGACACGGTGCTGCAGAGGGGACTGAGTGTCCCCCTCGCTGGACTCAACGAGGACCTCCACCTCGGTGCCCGTCACAGACCAGGGCGGCCCGAGGCTGAGAAAGGCCGTGCGTAGCTTTCCATGCCCCGCACTCAGGAAAGAAGGCAGAGGGGAGGGGAGTGGGCGTCCCCCCCCCTTGCCGGCGAGGAACCGTGACAATCCCAGATGCAATGGTAGAGCCACCGAAGGGAAAGCTTGTCACCTGCCCTCCTGAGCCACGGTTCAAGCGGAAATCTTTAAAGGGGACTTTTAAAAGGATCTTGCCTGCGATGTGTGCCTTGGACATTAGGTGTCAGCCCTTTCTAAGTGCGACTCCACCATGCTGGGGGCACTGCTGTCCTTCAGGCAGATGGTCGGCCCTCAAGCCTGACTTCCGGGCAGTGTTCTAACGCCCCTCACCGCCAGGAGGGACAGGGAGTGGGCAAAGCAGGCGACGCACAAGGCGGCTCCTCTCTGTCGCCATGCCGCGTGGCCTCCTGGGGGAGGGATGTCCCTGGGCTCACTGAGGCTGGCTGGAATCGGGGTCCGGGTCCCTGGGCTTCCCAACCAAAGTGAAGAGCAGCGAATCGCTGCAGTCCAGCCCTGAGCCAAGCGGGCGGCGACAGGCGAGCGGGGACGCGCGAAGCCCCCGGAGGGCTGTGCCCAGCGCGGACTGGACCGCGGAAGCGGGCTCCAGGCTTCTCTCGCTCTTTTCCGTTCCTTCCTTCCGTCTTTATTTATGTTTGAGTGTTAAAGAGAGCTATCCGAAAGCTCTTTTGCTGTTCTGGGTAAACCGGGCCTTCCCAGAGCAAGAGGAAGGGGTGGTCAGCGGGTGGAGCTGGACGCAGTGACCCCAAGGGACCCTTAGGATCGTGGAGCCAAGGGGCAGAAGAAAGCACAGTCGCCCTGTTACGCAGCCACGTCTGTGCGAGGCCGGCCTTGCTCGGAGCTCTGCCCTGGCTCACGGACTGCCCGGGGAATGTCCCGGGCCGCCCTTGGGTTTCCAACGCGCCCGAGACGCTGCGCTGCCCCGAGTTCAGCTTCAATAAAAGGGCCCGGCCGGCCCTTGATCACGCGGCTTGCCTGACAGCCGGCTCAGGCCCGGGCCTAATTGAGCCCGGGTCACCTGGGAATAGGTTCAAAGGCATCGAAGCCGTAAACCACCTCCAGGCCCCGAGCCAGAGAGGCCTGGCGAACAAAGAGTCCCCCGAACCACTTCAAACGCGCTCGCGCCCGGCGTCCAGATGGCGC